TAATATAATAATCTGAACTAATCATTTTGTTACAAACAGCTGTATTTATGTCAGAACAGAAACATTTTCACTGTCTTCATTTACTGCTTTATTTAGAACACATCCCGGTCTGCAGGATCTGGTCTGCAGGATCCGGTCTGCAGGGTCCGGTCTGCAGGATCTGGTCTGCAGGATCCGGTCTGCAGGGTCCGGTCTGCAGGGTCCGGTCTGCAGGGTCCGGTCTGCAGGATCCGGACCCGGGTTTCGGTGCTCTCTCTCTCTCTCTCTCTGCGGGCAGGACTCCAGCTGGATCCGGGTCAGTCTCTGGCTCCGAGCCGCAGATGAAGCTCCGGGACACCGACGCTCTCCTCCCGGGGCCCGGAGACTCCGGCCCGCAGCCCAGCTGTCTCCAGCGGACCCGCCGGGTCCCGGTCCGGCAGGTGAGCAGGTGTGGGTGTCAGCGGTCCAGAGCGGCTGCAGGAGCCGGATCGGCGGGACTCTGGCTGCTGTTCGAGCCGCTGTCTCTGGTTTCATCCTCCGCCTCTGAGCTCCTGCTTCCCCCGGAGTTCCTCCCCCTGCGGCGCGGGGCGGAGTTTCATACCGGACTAGACGCTCCTTTTGTCGGATCCGTTTCGACCCGACTCCCCGGGGTTTAGGGCAGAAAAAGACACGGTCAGAAAGCTCGGAACCCAGCCGAACCAGCCCGGCGGTGCTCTTTGATCCTCCGGACTCCAGTCGGAACCAGCAGGTAAGCAGTCGGTTGTGATTTTAAACAGATTCCGGGGTTTTTCTGCTCGCTTGTCTCCGAGTCCTCCGAACATTCATGGCGGCTCTGCAGCGACCATCTGCCCCGCTCAGAACCGGAACCACCCAGGTCCATCCAGGCAGCGGAACCCGCCTCGAACCTCCTAAAACTGGATCGAGTTGGACTGAAAAGCCCCAGAAGCCAACATGTGACTTTATCTGGATGGTTCTGGATGAAACCAGAACCAGGTCCACGTGTGGGAGCGCGCGGAGGCTCGCTGTGGACCGCTTTGATCTTTGAGTCCACATCAAAATATTTTCTTTATTTACCGACATGAAGCCTCCAGGTTCGGTCCGGTTCGGTTCGGCCTGCAGACAGCGGGGCTCCGTGCTGACTCCTGCCGGAGGAAGGCCGCTATGACCGGGCAGCTGCAGCCCGGAGGCCCGCTCCTCTCCGACAGCCAGGCTCGGGTCCAGCTGCAGGGCCGAACCTGGTCCAGAGGGCCCGGGACAGGACCCGGGACCAGATCAGACCCGCGTGGACCCCTGCAGGTCTCTGACTAACGGACTAGTTTCAGCACCGAGCTGGATCTGCTCTCTGCTGCCCCCTGTGACCAGAACCAGGACCAGCAGGGACCGAACCTGGTCCAGACCAGCAGGAACAGGTATAAACCCTCCAATAACCATGTCCACCTGTTTGTACAGGTGTGAGGAGGCGGAGTCTCCTCCAGGTGCTGCAGGATGAACGGCAGCAGCAGCGCACCAATCAACACCAGGGTCAAAGGTGGAACAGGTGAGCTGTGTGTCTCACCTGTCTGACTCACCTGTCTCTCTCACCTGTGTCTCACCTGTCTCTCTCACCTGTGTCTCACCTGTGTGTTTCACCCGTGTCTCACCTGTCTCTCTCACCTGTGTCTCACCTGTCTCTCACCTGTGTCTCACCTGTGTGTCTCACCTGTGTCTCACCTGTGTGTCTCACCTGTGTGTCTCACCTGTGTGTCTCACCTGTGTCTCACCTGTCTGTCTCACCTGTGTGTCTCACCTGTGTGTCTCACCTGTGTCTCACCTGTGTGTCTCACCTGTGTCTCACCTGTGTGTCTCACCTGTCTCTCTCACCTGTGTGTCTCACCTGTGTCTCACCTGTCTCTCTCACCTGTGTCACTTGTCTCTCACATGTCTCTCACCTGTGTCTCACCTGTCTCTCTCACCTGTGTCACTTGTCTCTCAC